GCCAAGGGCCAGCCCAGTGGAACTGTCACACCCACACAGCAGCACAAGGCTGAGGTTTCTAATGCTGCGGCTCTTGTGTCCCATCCAGGTGTAAGCCCAATATCATCGGGCGACAGTGTGACCTCTGTGCCCCTGGCTACTACCACTACCCCAACTGCCGGCGCTGTGACTGCCACCAGGCTGGCACCAGAGCGAGCGTGTGTGACCCGGTCACGGGACAGTGTCACTGCAAGGTCAGTCCTTCGATTCCTTCGCACAGTGCCTTCCTCCTTGGCTTGACTCTCCTGCTCTGGCTGTGGGTGTCTGGCGTGTCAGGAGGGAGCAGGGCTGGAGAAGCAGAGTGCCTGTGTGCTGGAGCTGCAGCCAGCCTGTCCCACATGGTGATGGCTTCAGAGCACTCTGAAAAACTCTTTCTCCCCATCGTTCCTGGCCATCAAGGTTTACTCTGGGCTGTTGTTGAGGTGATGAGTAGTCTGGGTCCAGCCCCATGTCACAGCCTGTTGCAGGTAAAGCTGTCAGCCCCGTTGAGTCCTTCTGCTCCCGCATGACAGCGGAGTAACTCCAGGTGCTGCGGAGCTGCCTGCTCCAGCCCCTTTGCAGGGCTCACAAGTGCTTTCTCCAGGTGAATTTAATGTTTGATGGGTGATGTGCAAGCCAACCTGTTCAGGGACTGCTTGATCGTCTTTCAGCATCATATGATTGTCCTTTGACCACTTGTACAGCCATCTTTGTCCTCCACTAAGGTCTCATGAGAAGCTGCTAACACTGTTGAGCTTTGCTTGTCTTCTAGGAAAATGTGGAGGGCCCGAGGTGTGACCAGTGCCGTCTGGGGACATTTTCTTTGGATGCCAGCAACCCCAAGGGCTGCACCAAGTGTTTCTGTTTTGGTGCGACCGATCGCTGCCGCAGTGCTGAGAAGCACCGAGCTGAGGTGAGAGGGGCTGGAGACCACCAGAGCCTGCAGTTCAGTTGTGTCCACCTGGCTTCCTGCTGCCCTCGGGTCTCTGTCCTGCATTAATCCTACTCCTCTAGAAGATACACTGTGAGGAGGGTTATATTTGTCTCCCTGTGCCTATCTCCCACTCTTTACCCCTTTTCCTAGTCCCTAGGGTTTCATAGGTTGGAAAGTCATGGCATGGGGAGGTTGTGCCAGGTGGGAGACGGGGTGATGCTCAGCTTTCCATGGCATGTGAGGTTGTGAGCCTGTTATCATCCTTTCTTCTGCTCTGGGACTTGGTTTTCTGGAACATCAGCACCCAAACACTTTCTGTAGCTCTACTAGAAGATCTGTGGTTGCTCTTCCCCTGCAGTTCGTTGACATGAACGGGTGGCTCTTGTTGAGCAGCGACCGCCAGGAAGTGCCGATGACTCTGAGCCTGCGGGAGCAGCTCCTCCATGCTGATCTCAAGAACCTCCTGGATGCCTACCAGGAACTCTACTGGGTTGCACCCAGCTCCTACCTTGGGGACCGGGTAAGAGCACAGTGGCAGCTGGACCAGCACCCATGCACATCCCTGACCCCACAAACACATGTGCCAGCAGCATGCCCACTGACGTGCAGGCATTGCTCATGCTCTAGTTGAACATGGACAGCTCTGATCCATCTCAGTGGTGTGGACTTGCAGCAACATACACAGTTTTTCTCCCTTAGGTTTCCTCCTATGGTGGGCACCTGCGCTATGAGCTGCACTCCAACCCACGGAGAGGTGACATCTTCATTCCCATGGAGTCCCGTCCGGATGTGATCCTGAAGGTGCAGCCTGAGAAATTCCCTGGTGCCCCCTGCTAATGCATGAGCAGGACAAGGTGTTGACTGACACCTTCCTTGCTTTTCCCAGGGAAATCAGATGAGCATCATGTTTCTGGAAGGCACCTACCCATCCCCAGGGGAGGTACATGAAGGCCGGCTGCAGCTGGTGGAGGTGAGTTTGCACACCCAAGTGAAGTGCTCAGACGCTATTGAAAGGTCAAGACTGGCATGTAGGCAGAAGGGACAGTTGCCTTGAGCTCAGTATTTTAGGTGCTGCCTATTGCAGCAGAACCAGCTCTGAAGATCCAGGGCTGTGTTCCCTGTGCAAAGGGGAGACATCCCAGCAGCAGGGAAGTGAAGGTTGAGCTGGATGTTCAGGTGCCTGTGCTTCCTACCAGTAATGTCATGTCTTCTCTCACTAGGGTAACTTCAGGCACACGGAGACACACAACCCTGTGTCTAGAGAAGAGCTCATGATGGTGCTGGCAAACCTGGAACAGCTGCAGATCCGGGCACTCTTCTCCCAACTCTCTTCATCCGTGTCCCTGCGCCGCGTGGTCCTGGAGATGGCAACAGACACAGCCACGGGCATCCATGCCAGGAACGTGGAGCTGTGCTTTTGCCCAGCTAACTACCAGGGGGACTCCTGCCAGGTAACGGTGAAAGTGGTTGTGCTGCTCCAGGCAGAGAGGAGATAAACAGTGACATCTGGCTTTAAACTGGAAGAGGGTCACAAATGGCTCTAAACTGGAAGAGGGGAGGTTTAGATTAGACATTAGGAGAAATTCTTTACTGTGAGGGTGGTGAAGACACTGGAACAGGTTGCCCAAGGAAGTTGTGGATGTCCCCTCCCTGGAAGTGTTGAAGGCCAGGTTGGATGAGGCTTTGAGCAACCTGGTCTAGTGGAAGGTGTCCCTGCTGCTGGCAGGGGGGTTGGAACTGGATGAGCTTTAAGGTCCCTTCCAACCCAAACCTTTCTATGATTCTATGATTTTGGGTCTCAGCCACCCCTCGTGCTTGGCATGGGTGGCAGCTCTGGGGTCTGGATGTTTGTGCAAAGTCGTGGTGCCAGAGTACCAGCTTCCAAGCTGACCTCTGAGGGCTTCAGTTGGAATCACAGCTCAGGCTATGCTGGAGGAAGGAGTAACATCTCCCAGGCTCCCACGTACTAGCCTGCTGCCAGCTCTCCTCCCACCACAACACAGGGCACCTGGGAGAGGTGTGTGAGCTGCATCTGCCCTCTTGGAAGAGGCATGATGGAGAAATCATTCAGGTGGTGCAGACCAATGTTGAGTGCATGCAGTACTTTGGAAGAGGTCCTTCTGTCTGGCTAATTATCTCCTGTTGATGAGGAGCAGGAAGGAGCTGCACTGAAAGATCTTTGTTGCCTTTAATCTCTTCTCCATCAGTCCAACCCTGTGGGAATTCTGTCACGGAAACTAAATTAGTCTCTTTGCTTTGCCTGAATGTGTTGGGCTGTGTTTCAGATCTCTGTCTTTTTCTCTGTCCTCAGGAATGTGCTCCAGGTTACTACAGGGACACCAAGGGGCTCTTTCTGGGAAAATGCATCCCATGTCATTGCAACGGCCACTCAGATCAGTGCCTGCCAGGCTCTGGGATATGCCTTGTAAGTAACCAGTGAAGCAGGGTGATGTTTTGGAGTTAGAAGGTCTGTAGCATGTCATTAAAAAGCTCTTCAGATAGTAAGTGAGCTGGCAGGGCTGTGCCTGAATTGGAGCATTAGCTCCATGTGCTGTTTCAGGGGTGGTCCCGCTCGGGGTCAGCTTAGGGTGAAAGACAGTTCTGGGAACGAGGAAGGATTGAAGCATCCAGGTTTCTGGTGGGGAATTCTTTGTGCAGCCCACCATTTCCTGCTGTCAGTGCTGAGCCCACAGCCTGCCTTTTCCTTGCAGAACTGCCAGCACAACACGGAGGGAGACCACTGTGAGCGATGCAAGGATGGCTACATGGGCAGCCACTCTGCTGAAGAACCTCTACAGTGTGTTGGGTGTCCGTGCCCTCTTTCAGTTGCCTCCAACAAGTAAGTACCCTCAGATGGGATTGTCTATTTGGCCTCACTGTTTAACCACTGGGAACCATGCTGTGCCACATCAGGGCACTGGCTTGGCACTGGTGAGTGTCCCAATGCCAGGCTTGTCCATTACCCCAAACCATATCCATGGCCTTTTCCCAAGGCCCCAGCAGCCCACACTGAGTGATCATCTTCCCTGGCACCATGTCAGGGGTAACTGTACCTTCCTCTTCGCCTCTTGTTGTTTCAGTTTTGCCGTTGGTTGTGTTCACAAGGGCTCCAACACCCAGTGCCTCTGCAAGCCCGGCTATGCTGGACCCAGCTGTGAGCGGTAAGGGTGATGGCACTCACGTTTCTGAGGCCATGCAGGCTCAAGTCCCCTGCAGCCACTGCTGTGGCAGGAGTAAAGTTGTCTTAGTAGAGACTTTAAAGGAAATGGTTGGCTCTGCCACCAGTGTGCTTTGCTCTGGCAGGGTTTCTTTCAGCCTGCAAATGCCCTGTGTCTGTCTCCACTGCCGATACCTCGTGTTACCGTGGGTGTGTTCCTCAGCCGTGCTTTGCCTTGACTTGCAGTCCATGATACAAGCACCTTTCTGGGGTATCATGAGGCAAAACACAAAATGCTCCAAGATCCCTGAGGGTTGCAGTAGTTACAAGTGTTGGATGCTCAACGCTGTTAGAATTGCACAAGACTCAAGGATGGTGCAGGCGTGAGCTGTGGGGATCCTCCCCAATGCCTGGCTGTGTTTTAACTTGCCCTGTTTCTCCAGGTGTGCCCCAGGATACTATGGCAATCCCTTGGTGATTGGCAGCTCGTGCCAGCCCTGCGACTGCAGTGGGAACACGGATCCCAACATGCTGTTCAGCAGCTGTGACTCCTTGACGGGCTCCTGCACGGGGTGCATGCACCACACGGCCGGTCCCCGCTGCGAGGTCTGTGCCCACGGCTACTACGGGGATGCAGTGGCAGCCAAGAACTGCACACGTGAGTGGGGCAAGGCAAAAAGAACTGGTGGGGGTGAGGATGGACAGACTGACCGTGGACATGTGTAACACCCTAGCCAGGCTGTGTGTTGCCCCGATGAGTTGCACGCTTGGTTGCACACATTGCAGGCATTCTCCAAAGGTAATAAGTAAAAAAACAACTCCAAAAACCTGCCTTACAGCATCACAACTCCATAACCTCCAATCCACCCCTAAAGTCACCAAACCACACCCAGGCTGGAACAGTCTTGCCCTGAGCAGCTACCACGGCAGCGGTGCGGGCAGTCCCTCGGGAGTGCGGGTGTGCACAGCCCACCTCCAGCACTGCTCACCTCCCTCTGAGGAGCACCAGCCAAATTACAGCTCACAAAAGGCAGCTGCCCAGAGAGGGTGTGGAGTCTCCATCTCTGGAGATGTTCAAAACCCACCTGGATACTTTCCTGTGCAACCTGCTGTAGGGAACCTGCTCTGG